TGAGTACCAAAGGCAATCGATTTTGACTTTAACAAAATACCACAAATTACCAACGATAAAAATGAATAAAGTAAGTACATATCTTGATAAAATGACAGGGAATTTCCAATACATAAACGAGGGCCATCTGCCTAGGAACAATAGGTAAAAGCTGATAAACGGACAGGATTAAAAAGTTTAAACCATCACTAATTAGATCATATTACAAAATAAAGTAAACAAGTATATTTGAATGTTAATTATTTTCAAACTAAGATTGTAAAATTAAAATTTTAGGAAAAAAATATTTATTATTTCTTGTTCTCAACAAGTACTTTCATTATTGACAATATCGAAACATTTTATTATTAAAAGTTGAGAAGAATTTTCTGAGGAAACGTACATATTTATATAATAAAAGTTCTATAAAAATGTTTCACTGCAAAATGATGCTAGCAAATTACCCTCTGTTTTAGGTCACTGATATCCATCAATATAATATCAATATTCCTGCACTTTTTTTGCCAAATTTTTGTGCGCTCTACGTCTTTCAGGTGAAATTTAAAGAAAGATATATTATTATTTGTTTCATCGTTTCTTTCAAAACATTTATGCGTTACACAGGCCATTTTATCTAAAATGTGAGTCCTTTTTTTTATAAAATTTCGCTATAACTTGTCACAACACTTCACACAGATAATACACTTATAGGGTAAGTTCGGCTCTGACACCACTCCTATCTCCTCGAAAGTCAGAGAGAGAATGAGAATCTCGATGCGGTTTTCGAGTAACGCCATCTAGTTTTTGATACGTCTTTCGGTTACCACGATGTGAGCTATCTAGGTAGTGGTTTATAATCAATAGCACAAGTAAGAGAGGGTGGTTTTAGTTGGTAGGCAGGATAATAGATACGTGAATCTTTCGCACTGCTATCTTTAGTACTTTAAATTAAACTAAAACCCAAATTTTAGGGACTCAAAAAAACTTCAACCCCCCTTAGACAAATTCTGGGTGCGCCACTGAACTGTTTAATAGTTTGAATATGTAAAAGAAAAATATTCTACCTGAAAGTTTCTTAAATGGCACAGAAGTATAATATATAACTGCAGATACTTTACTTATTTAACTGCTTTGTATACATAAAGTATTTATTGAACATGTCTTTAAATTTAATTAGTCTAATTTACTACTGACGACAGTAGGAGTAAAAAGAAACTCTACAGCCAGACAAGAATCTTTTAGTGTAGAAGAAGAGTATATGTAAGGACTTTTTGTATTTAAAAGCGCTATCAAAGTTAATAATAAGAAAAAACACAGAACGTGTTTCGCCGGATCGTCGCCAGCCTGACAGAATCTACAATTCGCACTTTCTATCAGTCCGATTTTGTTCATGTAGTCCTGTTAGAATACTGTTGTCATTATTCCTATCCATTTCTAGTAGATCTTTTGGTCTCTTCTTCGAAGGGTCATGTATTAAAGCCCTCGAAAATTTGAGACCCTTTTGTTCGTACCAGCGGTTACGTTTCATCCATTAGACCCAGTCCGATATTGTTCTTTTGGCTGTGCTTCTTGCTTAGCTAACGAAATGTTCTGGGCGTAAAAATATTTCTTTTGCCCCTCCTTTGACAATGAATCCCTCCCCTTTTTCGTTCACTGTATTACCAGTATGTCCAGGCGCCCCAAATAAACTTACCTTGTTGCTTTTTCCGATCCCAATCAGATACAGAAGACAGTTCCAAACTAACTTTTATAAATCTGTCTGCAGTTCCCCTTTATTAGTTCCTACGGGCACATCTCTATAGCAAACTATAATATCTCTATAAATTTCTGCATGGAAGATCCGTATACTACGGCTCCTACTCCTTCATCGGTTTTAGAGCCGTCTATAGACCAGTATTGATCTGCCATTATATGATTCTTTTATTCGAGTCCCATTCGTTCCTTCCTAAAAAGAAGATGATAAACAGCTTTTCTAAATTCTATTTAGATTGCAGTGCAGCTGGTACAATTTCCAACTCCGGGTTATTTTTAATTATCTATCTTAGACTTGATCCCGGTATCCTTTCGCCCTACTTCCTGGAGTCCTATCCGATTACTGAGATTCTCCTATAGTCATTTCTTTCTCCATCCATATATGTAATAAAGATAAGCATACTATAATAAACGCATATTTTAACAATTACACGTTTTGCGATAGCTAGAACTAGATGGCATACTATAAAAGGTCTCTTAAAGTAGGGTAAGGAAATATTAATTAAAATCATAGAGGCATTTTTTGTAAAATTTTAAACATAATGAATATTTCAGACTAACGAATGACGAACATTACAATGTCAATACCTAAAAAAGTAAAGCACAGACCAGGTACTCGCCCTGACCAATTATGTGGAATCAAACTTTCAAAAGCAATCAAAAACAACCGCTGTCTTCATCGATCTATCTGCTGCTTATGACACTGTGTGGCGACAAGGGGCAATATATAAATTAATGCGAATAATCCCATGCAGAAAGACCACTGAGGTTATTAACGCCATGCTATCCAACAGATGCTTTAAAGTTATATTGGGAGACAAGACTAGTACCCAAAGAAAACTGAATAATGGACTTTCACAAGGATCCGTACTGGCTCCCGTGCTTTTCAGCCTCTACATAGCAGACATGCTAGAAACCACATCAAAAAACTTTGGATACGCAGACGACTGGACGCTTGCCGCAAGTCATAAAGAATTTGAGGTCACTGAACGCATTCTAACAAATGATTTAAATGCCCTAGGGGATTATTTCCGCAAATGGAGATTGCAACCCAATCCAACTAAGACAGAAGTGTCCTGCTTCCATTTGTACAACAAGATGGCCAACTATCAACCTGAAATCAATTTTGGGGATAGACTCCTTAAATATAATAAACACCCAAAATACTTAGGTGTTACACTTGACAGAACGCTGAACTTTAAAGAGCATTTTACTAAGACTGCTACAAAACTCCGAACTCGTAACAACATCCTGCAAAAGCTCTGCGGCACTACATGGGGCTCCTCAGCACCCACACTTAGATCGACAGCATTAGGACTGGTATACCCCGTAGCGGAATACTGTACACCAGTATGGATCAGTCCACATACTCACCGTGTTGATGTCCAACTCAACCAAGCCATGCGAACTATATCGGGTACAATCAAGGCCACGCCCACTTACTGGTTACCAGCTTTGAGTCATATAGCTCCACCACCCATCCGCCGGGAACATGCCCTTGTCAGAGAATTTACAAAAATCAATACTGATCCTGAGCTCCGCTCCCATGTCGGAACTTCCGCCAGAGACATAAATAGGCTCCGTTCAAGACACCCGCCTCTAAAAACAGCAAAAAGGCTAGTAGATCAAAACTTTAATGTAACTGAACGGTGGAGAGAACAATGGGAGAATAACGCGGCACCAGCTAACTGGAACATGCCATGTATTACAAGCAAACCTGAGGGCTTCAACCAACCGAGACGAATTTGGACCACACTCAATAGAATAAGGACGAACTGTGGCAGATGTTCCGACTCATTTTTTAAAAGGGGAAAAATACAATCACCAAATTGCGACTGCGGCGCCGAAAGGCAAACAGTAAAACACATGGTAAAGGAATGCCCGATTAGATCCTATAACGGCAACCCTTCAGATTTCCTGGCTGCTACAAAAGAGTCAATCGAATATATTTATAATCTAGATGTTTGTTTGTAGAATAATATTTTTTATTTACTGTTGTTTGTAATTTATATAATTTATATTATATGTATATATATGAACCTGTGATGTAGCCATACGCTAAATAAATAACCTAAAAAAGTATATAGTAAAAAATTTCATAGGCAACAAGGCAACAAAATTTTCAAAAAACGGTCAACAAGATAATAGATTCATAGAAAGCCAAATTTCTGATAGAGCATTGTAATAATGACAATACTTATACTATGCTTTGTGCAATTATCTAATAGCTTCGATTGTGTTATCTAGAAAATATGTTATCTACTATTGTTAAAAGGAAGATGGACTCAGCAGAATAGTAAAAGTAAATACTTAGAGACATGAACATAAAAAAAAACTAAACTAAAAATAGAATGTAGAGTGAAATAACATCGGGATTAAAGTTTTAAGCTTTGATTATTCGAAATGAAAAATAGTTATTTAAATATCATCTAATAGCTGAAAAATAATATTTTTTGTGGATTGGTAGGCCACATTTAACGTAATTGCAGACTACTTATAAGAACGGAGGACAGAAAATCGACCGTCATGCCATTTTCACCTCAGCAACGCTATCTCAGGTTCTCAATATCAATATTCGCAATAGTTTAGATGCCGATGGACTTTTCAATAGTCACCGAGTAGGAAAAAATTAATGAGAATACCTACGGCCTCTCGAAAAGCCCCTACGATTAGTGCAACTGCCAATTCTGCGAGTGCCAAGAAGAACGAGAAAGAAGGATTCAACAGTTGAAAAGCATAGAGGGCAGAAGAAGCTCTAACCAAGGAAAACGTTCAGGCTGAGCAGAAGAATAATTAAGATCCAAATCTAGTCCATGAGCAGAACAAAGATCTATAACTAAAGCTAGTCCGTGAGCAGAAGAAAGATCTAAATCTAAATCTGGTCCTTGAACCGAGATCTTAAACTAGACTGCTGTGAGTCGAAAAAAGATCCAGATCTGAAGATACTTCGTGAATGGCTGAACAGCAGACCTAGGCCACAGGGGCAGGAGATGCCAAATATCGGTAAGCAGTGAAGGTCTACTGCCTTCAGTGGACCTCCTTGTGTCTGCGAGATGACGTCATCACTAGTAGTCATTTGTTTCTACACTATACGTTTTTAATTTCTGCTCTTACACTTAATACATAAAAGAGGATTCTATGTGATAAATTTTAGCAATAAAACGTTAAATAGAATCACATTTACCAACATTTTTTCGGTTCTAAATGGTCAAAAATTAATACAATATCTGTAGTCCGATTTCGGATGAAAAAAAATCAAAGAGACCTACATTCAAAAGCAGGATTTGTTAAGCCCATATTAGATTCAAACATCGGCTGAGTGACATCAAAGAAAGGAGGTTTTTCCTGATAATAATGTTCATTGAGCGGATCTACAGGCACCGTATCTTCTTGAGATTGATTTGAGTCTTGTCCTCTCATTTTTTGTTTCTTCATTCTGCAAATAAAATTAGAACTTAATATAACTGTAATTAAAAATAATAAAAATAGTAAGTTATTTTCCTTTTTAGTTGCATATATCAGTCAGGTTAAAGTTTCATGAAACCAGAAAAAATTATTCAAAATTATACTTTAATAACTGAATCGAATTTTAAGCAATTCAATAAGTGTTCTGACTTCATATTTCTTTGTATAGAGGTTTCTACAAGCGTAAACTGGTATATTGTGTTATAATAATAATTTCAACATGAATGGTTCTTTTCTTTTCAGTTCGAGTTTTAATTCTTCCTTATGATTGGGAAACCATAGTATACGTAAAGAAGAAAGGCGATACTCAAATTGGAACCACCGCCCATTTATATTGACAATTGACCAAAAACACAACATGATACTTCTTTCACTAGGTCACAAGAACCGCTGTAGGACCAGAGATACCTTCAATAGAAATTGCATTTAGAGGATGTACATCAAGTGCGTGCGTGTCCCCTCGTCTCAAAATGTAGAAAGCGTGACTGGTCTACCTGATCTTTCGGCATATAACCCGTAGTAAAACAATTTCTCCTACGAGTTCAACACCAGATGAGGATGGCACGCTGTCTGCAAGTTGTAGTACAACTACAATAGCAGAATTGAGTTCTCCATTCAACAATACATAGTAGTTTCAACCATGTTCTACCATCCATCAATTAATAGAGTACTGGCATGTAAGTAATGTTTATTTTTATTTATTTGCTCATTTATTAATTTATTAGAATTTAACAGACTATTTTATAACAATTTGTGGCCCTTACCTTGTCTGTTTAAACTTTTAAAACTTTTTATACCTTTTTATTCAACTTACTCTTTTTGAAATAAAACCACAGACATGTAATATTGGCATAATTATTGTAATTTACAACATCTACTTTGTTTATCTTTATTAGACAACACCCTAATATGGGTTTTTATCATTTCAGCATTTATTTAACTTTGTATCGAGACCTGAGGATGCTTTGCATATTGTAGAAAGCGAAACCAGTCGTCTGATAGTTAAATTAAATTGATTGTGAGTAAGTCTTATTTATTATTTCTTTACCTATTTGAAATGGACTCACACAAGCAACACATTCATAATTACATTCTAGTTGGTTAGGTAACTTTCTATAATAGACTGCGCTCAAATGAGCTCAAATCCCCAATTTATAATTTCACAAATAATGTATACCTTAGCACAGAGGTTAATGCTTCTATCATACTAACAAACTTTAAGCTATGAGCTACAATACAATTTAATGTAGGCCGTTATTGCAACACTTAGGAAGTTCAAATAAAAAATATATTATTCGGCAATTTATTAAGTCTGTAGGTTGAACGGATTCTAATTATTAAAATATTACTCGATATGTTTCATAATGGCTCAATTATACACGGTGAAATCACAAAAGGTCAAGAAGTTAAGAATAATGTAAGATTACAAATTAAAGGACTAATTTGTGATTGAACATTATGGCATGCCACTATGTTTAATTTTTCTTTGTCATTGTATTCTATTGGCTAAATCTTGTCAATATAATGACAAAGAAAAATTAAAGAAAGCGGCATGCCATAAAGACCTTAAGCTTATTTTAAGTTAAATTAGACTATTTTTTTTAATACACAACAAAGGCTATAGCGGGATAAGATGGTCAAAAGTGCCCCCGCACCGATCAGCAGCGCGATCTGTGCTTTCGATAAAGTGTATAAAAACATGACTTCATACAAATTTTCAGCTTTCCAGAGGCCACGGAACCGCTTAAATCTAAAAAAAGCTTTTTTCGACTTTATTTTTTTCTGGACGAAATTTTGCTTTAAAAAATCTGAAAAAATTCATGAAGGTGTATCTTTTGAATACAAAATAGCCTGATTTTTTTCAAATTTTTATATTGAAAATTGAGCCTAGGAAAAATCATTGAAATTTTCAATAATTTTTTAGGTTATGTTAATAATTTTTGGCTAACTTTTAAATAGTAATTTTTTGTGTATTTTTTTTTGTTCTTTTGAATGGCCAAGGCAAAATTTTCAAATTCTGAGCGGAAAGCATCGAAAAATAAAAAAAACCGCTTTTTTACTCATTTATTTGCACATAACCTTAAAACTCAGTTGTTAATTGAACATTTTTCAACATTTTTTTTTCCACATTATCAAATTCTATTGTATAAGTCCCCATTTAACTCTTTCAAAAGGATAAAATTCGAAAATACCACGTTTTTTTATCCATTTCGCACTTTTTTACCTTAACTCAAAATCAGATAATTAGATGTATGCTTTTCCACCTATTCTCTTACGGGCTATGAATCATCATTGTTAAAATAATCATTTTTAACTTACAAATTCTTAAAATACGAATAAATCATGTATTTATAATATTTTCCCACTTTATTGGCTCTTAACCTTAAAATGTAGTAGCCACATGATCGAATTTCCGTGTATTTTTGATCGCACAGTTTAATTTTGTTATACCACTTATCTTTTTTTTCTTAAATAGTCAAAACCTAAAAAAACGGTTTCCAAGTATTATTTCTATTTTTGACTCGTTAATAGCATAAAGTGATATATCTCTAGGATCACCTCAATAGGACAAGAATATTATTATTTTTCAAATATTTTTTTAACATTGTAAAAATTGTTTTATAAATTCATTTGGATATAAACGAGGACATATATAAAATATTTGGCTACAAAAATATTTATTATTATGAAATGGTTATTCAATAGGTTATTTAAATTAACAGTTTAAACATTCAATTACATTTTAATCCTCATCACTATTCTCATCTACGACAGGTTCAACATCAGATTTAAAAATTTCTGACAGAATTTTTGCTGGTCTTATGATTCTCGATTTATATCTTGCATTACTGAGATAATATATAACTGCGGCTATATGAGAACACGAACCCACAGTGCGTAACCCATTTGCCCAGTCACATGCGTGACGCAAAATACCACCATATCCAATTGAATCAGGTTTATACTCAATGTAGTATATAGGTCTTACTGCTTATATGCCTGGATCTTATTAGTACTTTAATAATATTCGGTTGCATTGTAATATACTCCAAATTAATGTTATTACTATCATCCATCAACTCAGCCAAATAGCAAATGGCTTGACCTAACTGATAGGTTCCCGAAAAAAAAAATTTTGAGGTCCCTTTCAGTCATCTCTGGAAAGTTAATAATTTCTTGCGATGTCAGCTTAGTCGTTGTAGTAGGACGTCTTGACCACCTAGCTGTCTCAGCTTCTAATGCTAAAGTATTCTCACCTTGATTAGATTTTAACATTCTTTCGATTATTATATCCTGTAACCCATCATCATTTTGATCACTATTCAAACGCTTACCAAATAAATTGTTAATAAAACATGCTATTTTACAATATGCACCAGCTTTTGGTATAAGTTTATTATCTAATTGTTGATGAAGAAGCTTATATTTATTGCCAAGAATTCCATGAACGGCTTCTACGACCCACCTCAATTTAGTTACATAGCGTGATTCATTTGATTCAGCCGTGGTCAAATTGGATCTTTTTCCTTTTAAGGCAGGCATAAGAATCTTGAAGCCAAGGGCTTTAAGTAAGGTACAACATCCCTAAAACCTCTATCCACGATACACACATCTCCTTTTTTCATGATAGATTTTATACCATTTGGATCATCCATTACTTTTTTCATGATGGTTGCATCATTTTCAGTGGCATAAAATGGACCAGGGAGATCTACAACGTATCCATCTGTAGTACAAATAGTAAAAGGTTTGAGCAAGGGTTTCTTTTTCTGACCTGAATACGACTTTCTCTGATAATCGTTATTTTGACTCTTTTGGTGATGTAAATATGTTCCATCAAAAATCAAAACAAGTTGGTCCGACAAGTTAAAAAGTTTTTTTGCATATATAGAAGTATGGTCACGTATTAGTTCTTCTCTTTTGATACTTTTAGCGCCAAAATATTTCGGTAAAACATCTTTTTCAAAGGAATGGATTACTGATTCACAAAAATCTGAAATTTTTATTTCATTTTCTATTTCAAAGACTGATGAAATAAAATTATTGGATGAACCAGTGCGTAATTTGAATAAAAATATAAACAAAGCTTGTGTCAAGTCTCTACAATGTGATGTTCTCATGGATACTAACAATTCCTTCAACTGCTGTAATTGATCAGCCGAAAGACTAGTGAAAGTAAATAACTGCTTTTCGCTAAGCTCAAAATATTTTATTTTATCTAAAAAAGTTTCTGAAGCTGCATCTGATATTTTATTTAAAAATAAACATATTTCATTTGCATTCAAAAAACTAGTATTACTGTATACTTCAATCCGTTTCAAGTCATCATCAAAAAATCGTTTTTTAAATAAATGCTCATTACAAACCCGATTGCCATTTGGAATGAAAATTCTCAAGCTTTTGAAACACTGTAATCTTGCACTTAATGGTACAACTATCAAGTTATTTGAATTTCTGCAAACGCAGCACGTTCTGTGGGAACTAAAAGTTCTTTGCAGGGGCAGCTCGATGGTGGGTTTTATTACTGCAGGAGGATTTAACACTGGTTCAAAAATTTCACCTGAACTCTGAGAGCTGGGCATATCCGTGCTTGACTGAGAACTCATTGGTTGACTTTGATTACTAGGCGTAGATTCTACTTCCGCTACGGTTTTTTTTGTTCCAAAAAATACAAGTCGTCTACATCGACCGCACAATTTAGACCCAATATGAACACCTTCTACATTCAACTGCTCAAGAACGGCTTCAGCTTCGCTATTAGAATTGACGACTTTAATCTGATCTGGTTTCTTACTTAAAGAAAGTTTCATGCAAACGCAACATTGATTAGTTTCATCATCCATGATTAACAGAGTACTGAAATAAAAAATTGTACAATATATTAGGGCATCAAAAATATAAGTAAGAATAAAAGAAGCTATAAAAACATAATAATTAAAGTTCTAACAACTTGAGCAACACAGTCAACGA